GAAATTTGCCCGCTGCCTTTGCTTCCGGATGGTGCGCCGAAGTGTTGGCGGTGCGGGAATTTGCAAAGCAGTGTCGTCACTGACACAGGCAACCGCAGCCAGAAGTATTTGGTGTGGTGCTAGACGGCCTTCCACTGGAATAAAGGACATTAGTGACCTTGTTTTGAGAATATAAGAGCAGGAACAGATTTTGGTACATACCAGATTTTTCCTTCATCTGATGACGAACCCAAGCACGTTTATCTTGGTGTTGTCAAATGCATGCGTATGGTCTCCTGAATAAGAGATTACACGAGTCTTGGCGTGATTGGTGACTATTTTAGTTTTACAAACTCCTCTTCGCCGGCAGGCCCAATACAACATAGTTTCGTAAACCTTAATGCAAGTGTAGGAATGTCCATCATGAAGAAGCATATCGCTACCTCTCTTAGTAGTAACTACCTCCATTTAGAAATCGAGAGTGATATTTTTTTAATCGGAGGGTAACCTGCATAATAAGCCCTGAAACGGGGCACAAAAAAAAAAAAAAGAATCGCGTTCGGTGCGCTTTTTTCTATTGTGAACTTTATGTTCTCGAAGTTCTTTTGTAAGAAAGGTGACCCCGATAAGACAATATGCAGGCAAAAGGCTGTATGCTGCCTTAACTTGGGGTCATTGGGACATGCTTTTGTTTCCCGTAGTCAACCTCACTGGCCTTGTACGGATTTAATTAAGTGGCCCCCTTTCGTAACTTTCCTAAGAAAACAAGATAGAAAAAAAAAAAAGTTTAACAATCTTGAAGTCATTGTGTGACGAACTGCCAGCGTGACGAATCACCCTATCACGAATGTTCCGCTGTGACGAACGGGCCTGTTACCAGTTGCCCTATGACGAATCGACATGTGACGAATGGGCCGTATCCCATGCTATCCTGCCGCGGCGTTTTGGCTGCGCTGGGGCCGAAATGCGCTGCCTGCGGGCCTTTACGCGGCCACTTGTCGGCCGTGTTTTTTTTACAGAATTGATTGGCGTGGCATAATGAAAGTCTGATAAATCTGGATTCGATAGTCAACCCGATTTTAGAGCGTCGACGAAGGCGAATGCGCACTTGAAGTCGTTCTGTTCTATTCTCACCGCTACGTCCTCGTTCGCGTAAGGGAGGCGTCGATTCCAAGGTAATATAAAAAATGGGGAATTTTTTTTCTTTCGTGTATTATGTTTTTGAAATACGTGAAACGACCACCGAGGTATCAGCAGCCGTGACGAAATTTCGCGCTTCAAGCCGCTGTGTCACGTCTGTCAAATTAATCGACGCTGAACCGCGTAGGCACTTTAACATTAAAATATGTCTGGGGACACTAGACGCTTCTGGTGCAATTCCCCTGCGATTCAAGAGAAGACATGGCTGGCGAGAAACAACGCGAAAAGTTGTCATGACACAAAGCAAACAATGCATTTTTGGCACTTTACATTCGGCACTTTTCAATGAAATACAAAATTGATTTTAAAAGAGGGTGAGCGAAGTAACATATTATGCATGTTACATGAACCATTCCTGAACGAAATATTCAGGAATAGGCAATGTAATTTTTGTAACTTTGGCAATTAAAAGTTCTCAGGAAAAAGCAATTAAACATTACTTTTGTGCTAACCCCCATATGAAACGGCTTATGACATATGATCTTCCACATGGTAACAAATATATCTTTCTCGTGTGTACCTTCTCATACACACTATAATCGCAACACTACTGAACGTCGTAAGGATGCCCTGAGTATTCTCGGCTGCATGCGTGAACAGGTTTTCAAGGCTGCGTCTAGAGCAGACCTAAGGGCACCCAGAAACCAGTAGTGATCGTATTTGTCTTTAATGAGTAAGGGCATATTTTCGATTTCTCAAAAATATTGTGCCTCCTCACCAGATGACTGCAGTTTGATTGTCGGGATCAAGCTGTTTTAGGCGGGACATAGGTATAAAAACACAGGATCGAAGTACAACGAGGATCTTTACAGCCATTGGCAAGACCCACAAGCACTCTGAGAATGAACATACCCTATCATGGTACCATGAAAAGGCATATCTTGCAGTCAGCGTTCTGCTTTGAAGTCTATCAGGACAAGAATGAGAGTACCGAAAACAGTTATTAGGTACCATCGCATTTTGGACACTTAACTTCAAACGGGTTATAACAGAACACAAAAGACAGAAACAGCCTGAGTCTGGGGAAGCATATTTTAGCCTAGCCGAATATAACCTCTTGAATACCGAGGCACACCGAACAGTCCAATGATGACACCTCCACTAGATTTTTTATGTCGTTGCATAGAAGTTGCCATCAACAAAAGTGTACACAATTGTGACATTGCGACGAAAAGTTTTATGGAAAGTCTATGGCATAAAGCACATTAAACTCTGTGCGAAAGGCCAGCTTCATACAGTCGTGTTGCTACGTGCATGCAAACAGCTTAAAGGGATGCTGAACCGAAATTCGTATTTCAGAAAATAAGGCCGCACACAGCGTTGGGTAAAGTACATCTGAAAGGTACTTCTTTAGTAAAGTACAAAGTAAATGAGACGTTATAACGTCTCATTTACGTACCAGTGTACTTAATAATTTACCTACAAGTAAATTATTAAGTACACTGGGAGCAACGTACTTGAAGTAAAGTACTATAAATACAATGTACTTTCAAAGTAAAGTACAAGCTTCCTAACACAGTCTTTCATGATGCTCTTTCATTCCCCTAAACAGTGATTTTTTTTTAATTGGTATGCATTACCCAGAGGTAATCAAGGGAGCATGACCTCAAAAACAGCGGCGAATATTTGATAAAGTCAAGCGGCCACAGAGTAATTTTTGTTTTCAGGAATGGAGCCAAATTCAGAAGACCCTCTTCTGAATTTGGCGCCCCTTGCACTGGATATATGTAACCAAGGGGGTTAAATGTACTAGGAGAGAGCATGACGTCAGCACCGCAGCTTCCGCAAGCAATCCCCTCATAGAAAAATGCCCTCTCCGTAATAAAAAAATAAAAAAATAAGTGTGCAAGCGTGCTGGTGATAATTAATCATGATGTGACACTTGCGATTGGGGTGCGAAAAAAAAAATAAGGAACTTTCAAATAGAAGGAAAAGACAAAAGAGAATGTCTCACACCAACGTTCTCCTCTGTTTTCTCTTATACTTCGACTTGAAAATGTAATTTTTTCGCACCACAGACTTAGGTATTACATTATGATTAATTTTTCTCTCCTAATATTTTAAACCTCCTCGCTTGCGCTGACCGACCGAGAAGTAGCAAGAGATCAAAAACCTACGGGAAAGCCGCTGCCAGTACAAACGGGGCGATGCGTCGTCTGCTCACGTTTCTGGTAAGAGTAGAATATCCCTCCCAGTATTTCTTCGGAGTTGACAAGGCATCACTTCGTGATACAAATTTAACAAAACCAAATTTGAGGAATGTACTTTGAAGTCGGGAATTGTACTTTCCTCGGAAAGTAGCAGAAAAGGATACTTTAAGTACGAGAGTTTTCAGAGATTGTACCTCAAGTAAAGTACAAGTTTCCTAAACCTAATTTAAGTAGCACTTTAGGTACAATGCACTTAAATTACTTCCCAACACTGGCCACAGACGTGTTCAGCAGGACGCTACGTGCTTGTGCGTGAGTCACAAGCACTCACGCACAAGCACGCAAGTGCTTTTGTGAGACTGAGTAAATTGTGTGTTTGCTTGCTTTATGAATAAACTTATTATTATTATTTTTATTAACCCCAAAACACCACTCATAGAGCGATATCTCGAACGGATCGAGCGATATTTTAGAGAAGTATCGCTCGATGTACCTCTCTTCGAAGTGAAGTGCGCACACCCCGGAGTTTTCCTGAAGATGCGTGTGTCCCCTCGGAATATTCCTGTCCCAGTGAGGAGAAGAGAACTGGGTGTTTCGGGACGGCGAACAACGTGTTTTTTTTTTTTTTTTTGCAGACCTGCAGCTTGTTGTGCATCCTGGAACGAAACAGTGCTTCGCTCGCTGCTTTTTCTTTACGCCGGAGGTTGACGGGGCAACGTCCATAGTCTCCACGTGTCACCTGACGGACGAGCATGCATGAACGGTTGAAATAAGTTCACACGAGCGCTGAAGAACAGGTGAAAGCGGGCGTGAACTCGTCGCTACGCGCCTTGCCGCACGCAAATCCCTGCGCCAGCTGCGCGCGCCTATACACGCTGAGTCGAGCGCCCCTGACGGTGATTTTCCAAACCGGCCGCGGCGATGGATGGGAGAGCCGGCGCGCTAGACACACCCAACTCTCTAGCCACCCTACTAGGAGGAAGAAAGCTAAGAAGGAAAATGTTGAAATTCCAATGGGCGACGCTGCCCTAAAGGAATCTGCTACGTCACGAATACGTAGCAATTTGCCCAACGTTGCTAGATTACCTCCCAAATAGGCTCCGCATGCATCCACCAGGTGCACATTGAAAGATCGTTTATTTAGCTTTAAAATTAGTTTTCTTGTGCCTGTCAACGGAAGACTGGTGTTTTTGAGGTTAGGGTGCAACCTGCAACACATTCAAGCTAGAAAATGAGCGCTGGAATTTCGTTTCCCTACCCCTTTAAGGCTTCAATTCACAGTGCCACGTGACGTCGTCACATTTTTGAATGTGTGTGATACGTTTATGGTGGTGTCGCAGGAACCTAAGCAACTCTTTACACAACATTTAGGGCCTCAGTTTTATAAAACAAAACACTCAAAAATGTTTAGCCTAAGTGTATGCGCACTCAAAATTGCCACGCATTACGGTAACGTGCCATATTTAGCAGAATAACGCTCCACCCAATTTAACGGGAAATCTAAAGCTACACGCCAAATAGTTCCAATGTTTAGCGGAATTTAGCGTGTCTTCCGAACTCAGGAAGGTTCATCTGTACACACCGAGCGGCAGCCCAAAAAAAGGTCCATAATTTGACTCTTGAGATTATCCAAATGATTAAGGTACATACATGCATATATTATTTTTACAGGGCTTGGAGGCGTGGCCGATTGTCCTCTAGGCTACTTCCCCTGCAATGCGAGCGAACGCTGCCTTCGGAGGGAGCTCATCTGCGACGGACGACGGGACTGTGATGATGGCTCAGACGAACTCAGCTGCGGTGAGTAATTCTCAGACACTCGAGATACACCATTGACAGGAAACAACGACCAGCTTTTCGTACATGGGGGCATGCAGGGAATCAACATCAACCGTCTCAGGATAAAAGAGTTACAGTGAATCTTGCTTTTCATGTTCCGGGTACATCAGTCGCAGACTACAAGACTGCCCAGTCATAATATCGAACAGACATGAAGATTGCACCAGACTTCTAACAAATACAACTAGAAGACTAAAAAAGAAAAAAAAAACTATGATGTTTCAAAAGGGCACGAGGCAATAGAGGGTTCATTTCAGGCGGTTGCATTTTATTAAAAAATATTAATCAGTCATTAAACACCTGCAGCTACGTTTTTTGCTGCGAAAAGTAATTTTTAATTTTTCTTAAATTGGCTTTAGGGATGTTATCTGCGAATAAACGAAGAGTTTAATGTTCATTGGGGAAGCTTAAACTGACACAAAGAGAGGAACGCAAGCCCTACCGTTTACATTGGTCACGAATTGAACCTCCACACCTGCCACAGTTCAAGAAAAATAAATATATTAGCATAATATGCATCCATATAACGGATGCTCTCTGCTGCTTCAAATAACTAGCTGAGAAATAAGCTCTCACGCAGGAAACAAATGCGCCTGAGTATTCGTAACTTGTCCCTTGTTTCGTATTTTGTTGCTTGTTTCGTATCTTGTCCAGTTTTTAACTTGAGCGTGGAGCGTGATGGTGAACATTTGTGGGACGTTTTCAAACAAACGAACAAGGCACCAGTGAAGTCTTACATACCATTCAAAATTTATAATGGAAATAAGAGACATAAACCATGGATTACTTTCCCAATTCGAAAACAAATATAGCGCACACGTTGAACTTTTAAGAAGTATCGAACAAATCACTCTGATAGTGCTAGGCAAAGCTCGAAGAAATATCCAGGGTCCTTAAAAGAATATACAAGAAAACAAACTGATGTTTTATGACGCTTTTCAAGATTAACTCCAAAATGATCTCAAAGACATCTGGAAATCTGTGAACAGACATAGTTAGTTGCAGGAGGCGGAAAAACTGACTTGAAATATTAATTGGAATGTTTTGCCTTCGCAATGTCGCTGTCTACTAACTTGTCATTTTGTAACAAACCAGGAATAAAAAAAAAAGAAGATACCTCACCTTCTTTTTTATTATTCCTGGTATGTTACAAAATGACAAGTTAGTAGACAGCGACATTCCGAAGGCAAAACATTTCAATTAATATTTCAAGTCATTTTTTTTGTCTCCTGCACCTAACTATGTCTGTCCTTTGACCTGGCCAGAAGAGTGGTTTTGGCCGAGGTGAATACCGTACTACATGATACCAAGTAAGGCCTTACTACAAGACATTTACATGTCAAAAGCGTGTGGACCAGATGAAATTTCACCGCTAGTTTTGCAGAATTGCACAGAAGTCATATCCAAGTACCTTCAACGAATTTTTACCAAATCATTGAACACTGGTTTAGTTTCGGCTGACTGGAAAAGAGAAAATGTAACTCACGTTTTAAGTCTTGGTCAAAAAATGTAGTTTAAACTTAGCTCCCGGTTTCACATGCGTGCGCTGCTTGCAAGATGTTTGAACATATTTTATATAGTTGAATATATAGTTTCCTAGACTCTAGTCATTTCTTTTCCCCCTGCCACTACGGTTTTCGTCAAGGTCATTAACATGTTACACAGCCTGCAGAAGTTACCCATTTTGTTTCAAGTACGATAGAAAATAGCCAGTGTTGATTTTGTATTCTTGGACTTCCGCAAAGCTTTTGACACCGTGCCCATCATCTATTGTAAAACAAACTTGTATCTCTAGGCATCAACTACAAAATCATCGACAGGATTGCTGACTATCTTTCCGGTCGCGAGCAAACTGTAGTACTTAAGGTACAAAGTCTTCACCAGTGATTGTGACCTCCGGAGTACCACAGGGACCTGTGTTGGGGCCTTTGCTATTGTTTGTATTCCTTAACACGATTTGTGAAAACATAGAGTCTCATATTAAGTTATTCGCGGACGACTGCATACTATATAGATTTATTGAAAATGCCGTGGTCTCCAGTGTGCTTCAAAAGGGTTTAAAGTGCTCGAAGACTGGTATGACCCTTAAAAAATGAGCCTTTCGCCAAGAGTAAGCACATATGGTTTTCTCACAGTGCATCTTACCAGACCGAATACAATAGAAAAATGTTATACTTGACCACGTAGAAAATTATGAGTTCGTGGGAGTTCATTTGTCATCCAGTTTGAGTGGAATGATCACGTGGATAACACTGTTGCTAAGGCTTGTAAAATGTTGTTTGAACTTGTTTCTTATTCGCAGGAATTTTCAAAAATACATCTCGCAGTGTAAAACAAACATTCTATTTTTCTTTCATTCTTTCAATATCACGATACGCTCGTATCATCTGGGACTCGCCACAGAGTTACATTGAACAAAAGTTGGAACGGGTTCACCAGGTATTACGGTTCGTTACAGGTGACTACAGCCTTTAAACAAGTTGAACAAAAATGAAAGACAAGTTAGGTTGGGATTCATTCAAAGAGCGAAGAAAGTGCTTGAGATTGAAATTCCTTCACCGCATATATTACGGACAGACTGGCACTGAAAGGGGTATTTACAATTTTGAACCGCACTATGCATCTACAAGACGGGTTAATTCTACAGAAACGAGGAATATAGTTAGAATACTGACTGTTTTTTATTTTCATTTCAGAGCGCAGCTCTTAGGCGCCCGTTAATGGCTTGAGCGGTGTCGGCGTCGCCGTTGCTGCCGGCGCAACCGCGCGGTGTATTATGGGAAACGTCCCGTAATGCACCGCGGTGACGCGCGCGTTGCGTTATGGGACGTTTCCATAATGCACCGCGCGGGAGGGAGGAGGATTGAGGAGGAGGTTGGAGGATAGGGAGGGGGAGGGAGAGCGAGGGAGGAGGGGGAGGAGGATGGAGGAGGAGATGAGGAGGATGAAGAGGGGGAGGAGGCGAGGAGCACGGGAGGAGTAGATAAGGAGGCAGGAGGAGAGGGTATGGATGAGGAGGAGGGGCATACCGTCCCCTCTGTACCCTTCCCTCCTCCTCCTCAAGAGCTGCACTCTAATTCTGCATTACAGGGAGTTGTAAACGCCTCACCTTTTCTTTAAATCACTAGAGAGTGGTATACACTTACGAGAAAGAGTGTATATTACTGATAATGATCTCTTTTTTGATAAAAGTCAAATCTCTATTCGCGCTTAAAAATGTATGTTTTATCCTTGATTCCGTTTATCTATTGTGTGAATATGTATTATTATTGCGTGGTGTACCTTCTGCATACTGCCAAACGGCGCTGCAGGTATTCGTGTAAATAATATAAATAAATATACGGGCATTTCAGTATTTTATTCCCTTAAACTTTTAAGCATTTCTGGACAAGAAAATCATCTCAACATACACTAAAAGAAACACGACACATATAGATTTTTAAGAAGTCCATTCCGAAGTGGCATATCCTGTGTCGAAGTTTTCATCTGAATGCCTGAACTGCTCTATGAGATACTGTTGATTATTAAGTGAGTCTGCCCCAGTATGATCTAAAAAACACATTGAAGTTGCTTTTTGTGGAAGGAAAAAGACAGGAAAGGAACGTTTTATAGTTTTTCTCACTTGACTCCAAATAGTTTCTAATTCATTTATCTCCGTTTGGGGTCAGTTTCACGGCAGGATTAACTTTCACCAGCTCGTCTCCGCTCTCGCTATTTTTGGGCAGTTCATGCATAATTATAATACTATTATACATTACCATACTGACTGAATGCCAATTTTGAACACAGAACGTCTGTTATCAACTAATTTTCACGGAGGTCTGTAACGGCTTGGGTGTAACGTTTGGTTCTAAAGAAAAGCAGTCATAAAAAGCTTTACGCCCACAGAAAACCATATAAAATGTCTTAACTTCCTCAGCAGTATTCGAACTCACCAACTTGAGATTGTGAACCGAGTACATCTCAGCGGAAAGAATTATTGTACTAACAAATTACACTGCATTTTTATTCTATATACAACTTTTCAACGCTCAGTCTAATTGGTTATTAAAAAAAGAATAATGTCTACTCGCTATGTCACACCATGTCACGCGACAACGCAAGGCATCTGGACTTGGACCAATTGGCGTTGGTGGTGTTCGTCGTTAATTTGCAAGTCCTCTCCTGTTGTGAGATGGAACCCCTGAACAATCTAGGCTCCATAAGTATGGGCATGGATCTCCCACGGTGTTTGTTAAAAATGGCAGCAAATCTTCGACACATTTGCTTTGTAGGGAGGCGGTACTGCTCAGACGCCTCTCTCTTTTTCCACCGTGGACACGGTAGAAGAAGATAGAGTCGAGGCTACCGAGAACGTAAGAAATGGTAGGAGCAGCGGAAAGGACCCTCACCAAGGACACCACACACGAACGCCGATAAGTGTAAGGCTCAACGCACATTTTGTACATAGCAGTCCTCGTCTGCATAATGAAGCTTCTATAATTTTACAAATAAGAAGACTAATAAATATTTAAGGAAAATGAGACGTAAGAATTAAAAAAGAACTGCGTGGAATGACGTATCGGTACATTTTGCCTTTCTATAAAACTTCAGCGGTTAAAAATATATAATCTGTTTACAGTAATACACCTAATTTTAAAAGTATTACTAAATTTGTTATACTTAAGGTAAAGGAGATCTAGGGGGAGACACCAAAGCCAGGCTTGTGTTTATTCTAAATACTCTACTAAAGATGCTGTATTTAAAACATATTTGCAGTATTTCGGTATTTTGCAAATACATTTCGTTTAGACAATTTCGCTATTCGATCTTAATGGGCCTTTTTCAGAGTTTGGCCACGATCGTGGCGCGCCCTCTCGAGAATCGTGGAAACACTTTTGGAGGCTTCGGACCCGTCGCTCCGTCATCCTCGCGAGAGCGCGCGCGTCTCCAGGTCCCCGCGTTGCGTCCTCCCCTCTTTC